AATAGAGCTGCCACACTGTCAAATGACTGAATGCGGTTTAAATCGATGTTAACCCATTTCATTGTGCCATGTCTAACATAGAGTTACGCTATTTTGAAAACAGAAATAACACGTATGAAAATATCGGGAGGGGGACATGAAACTAACATCTTTATACACCAAAAAACAAAGAAATTCTCCGTTTGTTTACAAATATCTATATTTCTAGCTCAAGAAATAACATAATTATGTCAACCTCTGAAAAACATGCCATTTAGGTTTGGTTGTTGGAAGCCAGTGAATCGACCCATTGCAAACAGTTGTTGATTTTGCATAAACCGGTTTTGGTTTTGGCCAAAATTCATTCCATTCCTTTGTATGTTTGGTACAAACCGGTTCTGATTCTGATTTACAATCGGTTGAATTTGATTGGTTATAATCGGCTGCATTTGATTGGTTGTTCCCAAAACCGGTTGCACTTGATTGGTTGTACCCGAAACTGGTTGCATTTGATTGGTTGTACCCGAAACCGGTTGCACTTGATTGGTTGTACCCCAAACTGGTTGCACTTGATTGGTTGTACCCGAACCTGGTTGCATTTGATTGGTTGTTCCCGAAACCGGTTGCACTTGATTGGTTGTACCCCAAACTGGTTGCACTTGATTGGTTGTACCCGAACCTGGTTGCATTTGATTGGTTGTTCCCGAAACCGGTTGCACTTGATTGGTTGTACCCCAAACTGGTTGCACTTGATTGGTTGTACCCGAAACTGGTTGCACTTGATTGGTTGTTCCCGAAACCGGTTGCACTTGATTGGTTGTTCCCGAAACCGGTTGCACTTGATTGGTTGTACCCCAAACTGGGTGCACTTGATTGGTTGTTCCCGAAACCGGTTGCACTTGATTGGTTGTTCCCGAAACTGGTTGCACTTGATTGGTTGTTCCCGAAGCCGGTTGCACTTGATCGGTTGTTCCGGCAGGGGATGCGCCGTTTTGTGGCAGTGAGGATGGCAGGGGAAAGTTAGAAAGGATTTCATTCCTTTCAAAGTTGGACATATCTCCTGATGAGCTGGGGCTACTGGCTACCGGTTCTTCGGAGACGGCCGGCACCGCCGGAACTTCCCTGTAACATTAATGGATATATGAACATTTGGATGATGAAGTTATATTTAATGTACAGCAGCACTAATAATAATCCACGACGTCGGGATTTGTTGGTTGTCGAACGGACAACTAACCAGGTCCGTTAAATGGATTCAGTAGGTTGCTGAAGACCTATTCTACCCCGGGTGGCCCAGTCGTCTAAGGCGGCGCGATTCGCTGTGCAGGGTTGCGTCCCTTGGGCACGCCAGAAACCTATGATTGTGGGTTCGAATCCTGGTTTTCCCCGATTATGTTTCTAGGTTTGTCAGCACCATACCCGTGCTCGTGGGTTTCACTGAAGTGGTAAACGTCTGAGACCTGCATCACTTCGGGCTTTCCTCCCACATGAAGCTGACACGGCGTGATATGACTGGAATACTGTTAAAAGCGGCGTTAAACCCAACTCACTCACTCACTCACTCACTATTCTACCCCGGATCTTCATCATGATATGGACACGAGTGAGCGTCAGCGGGGTTCGCTCCCTATATGTAACCTCTATCACTTGTTTAACAAATCACACATGTAGACATAATGTGGTCACACACGACTGAGAGTGTGTGTTTAAACCTAACAACTCTGGTCGAATAGGGGCGGTCGGGTAGTCTAGTGGTTAAAGCGTTCGCTCGTCACGCCAAAGACCCGGGTTCGATTCCCGACATGGGTACAATGCGTGAAGCCCATTTCTGGTGTCCCCCGCCGTGATATTGCTGGAATATTGCTAAAAGCGGCGTAAAACCATACTCACTCACTCACTCACTCACTCTGGCCGAGTAGACATCAGTGCCGTGAAGAGCAGTGCGCTACTATACACGCTTCATTCAAAGGTGATGTTGGACTGTGCTGTTGCACTGCACCTCGTCAAGACGGACACCTGACTAGCCTAACATCCTGTCAGAACCGAATTAAATGTGCATCACTGTGTGAATAGGAATTTTTCTAAACTGTCATGTATTCCAGTTGGTTGTGAAGACACTGTTAATACCTACGGTCGAACTTCACACACTTCAACCCTCCAGATCCGATCTCTGAAACACAAAGAAACACCATTTGATAAGTCCATTGTTGTTTTTGTTTGGTAGGTTGTTTAGCCCCTTGCTTCTCAGCAATATTCTAGCTATTTGACCAGTAATAAGTATTGTTATAGTTCAAACCATTTCAATACGTTCCTTTAAAATTTCATTTATCTAAAATACAAATTGTTTCAAAGTGTATCTATATTCTATAGCCTTTGTCCGTTTGTATGCTACATACATGCGGCGTATCTATAAATGTCAATTAACACCTCCTTACGTTGCAGATCTTACGTATGTGTGAGGTGAGGTGAGGTGAGGTGAGGTGAGGTGAGGTGAGGTGAGGTGAGGTGAGGTGAAATTGGGTTTAACGTGGCGTCCAAGATTATTGCACTTATATAGCATGCACGTGTGTGTGGCTGCTTGTACCAGTCCGGACTGATGCTGATTTAATAGTACTAGCCCGCTGAGATACCATGCCGCAGTTTAACATGAATACCCCACTCAGACACAGTATACTGACTCCGAGCCGATCAGTCCTTGTTTTAGCCCCTTAATGCCGTGCGCCAGACAGGGTAACAACAAGTACAATCTTTTAACGTCTTAGGGTATGACGTGGCCGAGGATCGAACCCCGAACCTTCCGCTCTACCTTAATGCCGAGCGTCAGACAGGGTAACAACAAGTACAATCTTTTAACGTCTTAGGGTATGACGTGGCCGAGGATCGAACCCCGAACCCTCCGCTCTACCTTAATGCCGAGCGCCAGACAGGGTAACAACAAGTACAATCTTTTAACGTCTTAGGGTATGACGCGGCTGAGGATCGAACCCCGAACCCTCCGCTCTCCGGGCGGACGCTCTACCTCTAGACCACGGAGGCGGTTTCTTACGTATGTACATGTACGTGGTCACTGACCTTGCCCCACGTTATGTAATACCTCATCTACAAAACGTGACTGATATGGTCAATCTGAGAGACGAGCCCAGACCACCAACAGAAGCAGACACATAGTACGGCAAGTCGTGGCGTCAGCTACGGCCGCCGCCTCACCAACGACTCCGTCGACGACATATGTGACGGTATGTGTAAGTGACAGAGTGAGTGTCCGCACCCGGTAATATTGTAGACTCGGTCCCGCTGTGCGTTCTGTCACGTGATCATCATTACTTGTACCATTCCGACCTATTCCACCCATCCATAATAAACATGGCTGCCCTCTTAAAGTTCTCACCTGAGTTTTGTCTTATGTCGTCTCACTGAACTACCATCCGAGGGCAAGCACACGCTCGTGGTCAGATGGTGGAGAAGCTAAAGGTCGGTGGTTCGATCCCTGATCGTGTCATACCAAGATACGTTGGTACTTGTTGTTACCCTTCCTGGCACTCGCCAAAGTGCAAACAGATACACATGCACGCTCGTGCATGCGGGTCGCTATATAAGTGGAATAATCTTGAACGCGACATTAAACCCGATTTCACCTCATCATCTCGAAGTCCTTAAGGATTTTAACATGACAAAAAGTGAATATATGCCCCGGTGTTGTAGATTTTGTTTAAGCGTCTGTCAAATGTGTCACATGAAAGTAGACATTATGTTAAAATATGGCTACGTACTCTCTTTCGTTGTCATGGAGACTGAAGAATCCATTAATGACCTGGCCTATTGGCGCTAAAAAGTTCAAACCGCCATCGAAATCGTTGAGGAAATCCGTGAAGGTACAGGTCGTCAAAAAGGAATCTAAATGAAGCGAAAACAAATTTAAAGCATTTTTCACCATCGTATATCTATTTAAATAGTGAGTAAGTGAGTATGGTTTTACGCCGCTTTAAACAACATTCCAGCAGTATCACGGCAGGGGACACCAGAAACGGGCTTCACACATTGTACCCATGTCGGGGATCAAACCCGGATCTTCGGCGCGAAGAGCGAACACTTTAACCACTTGGCTACCCGACCGCCCCAAATCAAATAAAACGGCGATGTGACACCAGGTGTTCGGAAAAATATGATCACGCCCACTTTTATTTAAAAGGCCAAGGTTAACATACAGGTCAAGATCAGATGTCAACATACCTGTTATCGCAAGGCAGCCATTGAAACTCGTACAAATCCAAAACTGGTTTCAAATACTAGTGCTGCCTTGTGTTTAGCTAACAGACACTAACCTTTTCATGTGAATGCCGGATATTACCGGTAAAGCATTTTAATGTGTGACAGATGGGAGGACTCCTGGTGTTATCACTGATTTTTATGACCACCTGGTGTCATCACTGATTTTTAGGAGCACCGGGTGTCATCACTGATTTCTACGAACACCTGGTGTCATCACGGATTTTTATGACCACCTGGTGTCATCAAAGATTCTACGAACACCTGGTGTCATCACTGATTTCTACGAACACCTGGTGTCATCACTGATGTTTACGAGCACCTGATGTCATCACTGATTTTTATGACCACCTGGTGTCATCACAGACTCTACGAACACCTGGTGTCATCACTGATTTTTACGAGCACCTGGTGTCATCACTGATTTTTACGAGCACCGGGTGTCATCACTGATTTTTACGAAAACCTGGTGTCATTACTGATTTCTACGAACACCTGTTGTCATCACTGATTTGTATGACCACCTGGTGTCATCACTGATTTTTATGACCACCTGGTGTCATCACTGATTTTTATGACCAAGTGGTGTCATCACTGAATTTTACGACCACCTGGTGTCATCACTGACTTTTACGAACACCTGGTGTCATCACTGATTTTTATGACCACCTGGTGTCATCACTGATTTGTATGACCACCTGGTGTCATCATAGGTTTTTACGAACACCTGGTGTCATCATAGGTTTTTACGAACACCTGGTGTCATCACTGATTTTTATGACCACCTTGTGTCATCACTGATTTTTATGACCACCTGGTGTCATCACTGATTTTTATTGACACCTGGTGTCATCAGTGATTTTTATGACCACCTTGTGTCATCACTGGTTACATTTATTTATTTGCATGTAATATGGGTCATACGGCCTTCCATACAATAAACATCTTGATCTTGATACCAACGGAATCGTACACTCGTCCCTGCTTTTATAGGTATCCCAAGGATATGCAGGAATTAGACGTTTACCACTTCGGTGAAACACACGAGCATTGCCACGGGGTGCTGACAAACCTAGAAACATAATCGGGGCGAGCCGGGATCCGATCCCTAGACGTAACTCAGCACTTGCGACGCCTTTGACGAATGTGCGACCCGCGCCCCCTCAAATGTTAAGAAGGCCCGAACGTTAGAAGGCACATACATGTGTAGACTAACATTTAGTCTCTGAAATCTTATATTACACAATATCCTTCTTGACATTTAAAAAAAAAAAAATTCCCTATGCTGATGTGGAATAGAGCTAGCTTGAGCTGGCTAGACTTGCTTTTGTATGCATTTCTAGATTATGTTTTTTCATAAAATAAATATATTCCACGGTCATGGTGCAGGACTAATACATGTGCTGCAAACACATTAACACAGCGAGAAAGTCACATGGTGTTCATTTGAAGTAAAGCTATGATTACACATGTTCCAAACAGGGCGGTGGGATCAAAGGCTGCCATGGAAACATGTCGAGAATAAGAGATGGCTGTTGCTGTTATTCTGATTCTAAGTTGGGGGACATAAATAATATGTTTGTTTCTCATCACTTTGCCTTTTAAAAAAAAGATAATTTATTTTTTTTAAATTTCGATTTCCTTACCACTCCATCTTGATAAACGATTGTACCAAATGAAAGCAGTTAAAAAAATTGCCGAGAGTAGGGAAGAGAATTTATGGATTATCTATTCCTTATGTTTATTACTTGCCCGTGCAAAGCTCACCTGTTTAGGGGCGGTGAGGTAGCCTAGTGGTTAAAGCGTTCCCTCGTCACGTCGAAGACCCGGGTTCGATTCCCGACATAGGTACAATGTGCGAAGTCCATTTTTCCCCCAAAATGTGTCCCCAAAGATTGAATATTGCTAAAAGCGGCGTAAAAACATATTCACTCACTCACCTGTTTAATAAACATACAGCAGTATTACACATTGTTTAATACCAAAACGCCTGCTTATGTACTGCTGGAACAAGATACACAAACAAACATTGAAAGCTCTCAGCATCCCTTTGCTTATTTAAACGACATTGCAGGAGGAGATGATAGATCACTGAGAGGAGCTTATGCACACTCTATGACCCCAGCAACCCCGTTGCTAGGCTGACGTCACATGGCATTGTTTCGCCGGTGGGTCTTGCAACAAACTTCCACAAATCTCGTCATAGAGTATTGTAACGTGATTGTAAACTTGGCGGTGCAGGTCCCGTTTCACAAGGAGATCGTATTGTAGGGCAACGACAGTGGTAAGTTTCTAAATTTATTTATGTATGTGAGTTTCGATAACCTTAGCGCTACGATAACTTTGTGGAACGGACGCCTGAATTCTAAAGGTGGGCCGTTGTATGGTATTAAATAGAGAATCGCACCCTCGTATCTTTTGATATCAAATATATCAACGTGTGATATTTGATATCAAAAGACCCTTGGCTGAGATTTTATTTATCATCTAATATCATTCTTCAAAATTTTTCAGTTTGTAGACAGTTATAAGCAGTTTCTTAAGTGTAAAAAGTGCTGCTAACAGCTTCAGTAGCAGAGCCATTAGTTATGTTATTTGATTGTGACGTCATGGCAACCAATGACGTCACAATGGTCTGCAAAGCATTGTGATGCAATTTCATTGTAGCGATATTTACAATGTAGATATCGCTTGATCTTACTCAAGCGATATCTCCCGTGGGAGCCAGTTTTGGATGATAATTTAATATGTGTCAGCGTTTGACGTGTTTTAAGTATTATTCTGTCAAACTCAATTGGATTATGTTGTGGATCGTGTAGGTGTCAGCCTATTCATACACGAAAGTGAAATTCTAAAGAAAGTTATGAATGGCAAGTAATAAATAAAATGAAACTCGTGAATAGTTCTCTGGTATCTGACTGGCTTTCGCTCGTCAAATACCAAATTTATTCCCTCGTTTCATAAAATTGGTATTACACGGGAGCTCGTTTAGTATTCTATATTTACTATCACTTGACTAAATGTCATTCAAAGACTTGAGCAGGGAGAAGTTTTTGTGGCTTTTATTAGAAAAAAATAGCTTACTTCGGATCTTGCAGCAGAGGTAGCTGAAGCGTCTGTCTCGGTTCTCGATACTAAAGTAGGCCGATATCCCCCTAACGGCGCCATTGTCCCCGCACTGGAACAGCAACGGCTCGTCAAACTCGTTCACGTCAGCTGTGGAAGAATCCTACGTGTATATTGTAAGCGGTTTGTAATGCCAATGCAATTGGGAATAATCTGACTATAAATCCAATAACAAACACAACAAAACCTGCAAAATACTTGATCAAATGTTGAAATTTGGGAGAAATGTTAGCAATTTCTTTAAAATATAATATTTTACTCCGATACTTTACTTGTGCGATGTTATGACAAACCACCATATAACTGGAGCATACATCCTTTTAAATGTTTTTTTAATTGTTTATTTCGGTTATATGACGGCAGTCTGTAAATAATTGAATCTGGACCAGAGTATCCAGTGATTGACATCATGAGTCGATCTCATAACTGGGATACGATGACATGTATCAACCAAGTCAGCTTGCCTGACCACCCGATCCCATTAGTCGCCTCTTACGGCAAGCATGCATTGCTGAAGACCTATTCTAACCCGGATCTGCACGAGGATCTTTAGGAGTAATCATACACTGTATAACACGCTGTTTAAGGCGAGTAATGTTCACTTACTGTTCCATTCACACTCTTCTGTTGTGTCCGTCTGCGCACACCGGAAGTCCCAGATTCTGTCTTCCGCCCAGCTTGAATGGACACTGGACAGTCCTACCAGAGAGTTGCCTCTTGGACATATCACCCGGAACGGAGATCCAAGCCTGGTCATCCATGCACGTGTGCACGTGCACAGCACAGTTAACACCAGCACGTGCAACTGAGGGAGGGGTACAAAATAAATATAAATAAAATATGGGTCGAGAGAAAGAACTCTATAATTGATTTGTCTTTGTTGTTGTTTACGCCGCACTCAGCAATATTCCATCTGCATGATGGCGGTCTGTAAATAATCGAGTCTGGACCAAAGAATCAAGTGATTAACATGAGCATCGATGTTCGCAATTTTTATACGTTTTCAACTATCAATAAAAATTAAAGGCTGAAGACAGAAGGAATCAGATAAAAAAACGTCATTTCAAACAGTTGACAAATATTGATAAAATAACCCTAAACCAATATTCCTTATTGTGTTGACATTTATTTTGATAATTATCAACATTAACATAGAACTATAGAATCAAACTAAGTCGTGAAATATATTTCACTACATAAAACCAATAAGCTTCATTATTACCAAAAATTTCAGATGCACTTACGCTGCCGGACAAAAGAAATACACACTTGAAAGTTGGATTTGACAAAAAAAGTACAAACCTTATGAAAACGTTACAAGGCTAAAACAGTCGCCGAAACACTGCAAGCTTAAGGTCCGAAGGGCAACTCTGATACCCGTATCAAATACATCAACATCGAATAAATATTTCTTGTTCGTTTCATTTTTAAGCTACCATCAAATATGGGTGTATACTTTTGCCTCCCCGTCAGCTTGAACACTTATAAACCAGTTATAACTGTTAGTATTTCCAGTATAAGGAGCCGCATCCTCTCTATCTCGAGGGCTCGCATCACGGTAAACCTACTCTAACCTCTGGATCCATTCTCATGGTTCTCGCAATCACAAATTACCCGCCCTTGATTTTCATTAGCCAGTTTGATTTACTACGCTACCCAATCAGAATGCGAGTTACAAAACAGCCCTAATGCTGGGTTTGCGATATCAACAACATGACGGCCTGACCCTTACATTAAGATTGAATTGGCGAGAAATGTAACGTTGAAACTGACTAACACGCAAAAGAAATCGCCCCAATATCTTTTTGATGGAAAGGATGTCTCCATGTCCATTAAACCTGGCCGTGGCAAGTTCACTTTCTACAAAGCTTGCCCTGTGAGAAACCCATTTCCTTTTCCTTTAACCTGACGTTTCATTGGTTGGTAAAATTGTATCGAAAATCAAGGGCAGGTAATTTGAGATCGCGAGAACCACGGGAATGGATCCATGGGTGATTGCACGTTTACCGAAATACGAGCCCTGGATATATAGAAGTTGTTACTGTTTTTTGTCTGTTGTTTAACTCCGCATTCGTCAATCTATAACAGCGGCTTGTAAATAATCGAGTCCGGACCAGACAAACCGGTGAGTGAGTATTGTTTTACGCCGCTTTTAGCAATATTCCAGCAATATCACGGCGGGGGACACCAGAAATGGGCTTCACACATTGTACCCATGTCGGGAATCGAACCCGGGTCTTCGGCGTGACGAGCGAACGCTTTAACCACTAGGCTACCAGACCGCCCCCTACCGAGTCTGAACACTCGGCCCACTGGGTCACCTATTACGACAAGCATACGTTGCTGGTGACCGTTTGTAACCTGGAATCCACACAGGGTCGGCCCATATTACAAATACAGAGAACAATTAAATTACATCAGGGTTCAGGGCGCAGATTCGATGCATGAATGATCCGACTGAAGTATTTTAAAATATTTTCAAAATGGTGTTAAACCACAATTCAGACACTCCTTGGTGTAACTAGAGATACATCAACAAACATGTCTGATAAAGGTATAATTGGGAGAACATGTATTAGCCAATGAACTCATATGAATCGTTCCGCCTCAGAAAATTACCACCTTATAACAATTTGATTTAAATCCTTGAATGAATCCAACTGCTGTCCCGAGTTCCGAGTTTGGAACAGTAGCCACGTGGTGTCATTTATCAGCATGACAACGCTAGAGCCCATACAGCCAGAATTGTCACTAACTTCCTCGCAGCCAACAACGTCAACGGCCTGCCGTGGCCTGCACGCTCACCCGACATGTCCCCCATAGAACACCTCTGGGACTTGATGGATCGTCGTGTTCGACAACGAGCACACTCTCCAGCCAACCGGCAAGAACTGATCTTGGCCCTCCAAGAAGAATGGCGTCAAATCCCACGTGACCTCATCAGATGACTGACTTTTTCTGTGCGTCGAAGAGTTTTTGCGTGTATTGAGGCATTTGGTGGTCACACACGCTACTAATGACTTGTTATTGAACGTGAGCGATTGTTTATGTACTCTGCCTATTGTCCATGATTCTGAAAGCTCGAGTTTTGTACCACACCCAACTTTGTGGGGCTCTGACGTCATTCTCGGTCGAGGTATGATTGTCATTTTTAGTGTTGATTATGTTGATATATTGATCTTCTCAATACACTTTACTTCATGCATGTATGTTTTGCTGTTTTTGAGCAAGAGTGATTTCAAACTCTGGTAAAGTTTCTTTTGGACGTCAGTTTATATACAGAAATTGAAAGTTACAATGAAATGTGCCAAAATTAAAGTGACAGGAATATCATGCAAGTTAAACAGCTTCAACATTTCTAAAGCCAGTATTAATGAATTTAGACATGCTTCCATATCTTTTACTCTAATGCTGGATAAATCGTTTGAAACGTCACGAACAATGGATGACGTCATCTTCAATTATTCATGACAGTACGTTCATATGACGTCATGTTCATACAGGTCTCTTCGCAAACAATGCAAACAATGGAACTCTTGGTATGAAGAAAACATTTTGTCATCCAAAACTAGTTCCCACAAGAGATATCGCGTGGGTGACATCAAGCGATATCTACATTGTAAATATCGCTGCAATGAAATTGCATCACAATGCTTTGCAGACCATTGTGATGTCATTGGCTACCATGACGTCACAATCAAATGGCATCACTAGTGGCTCTGCTACTAAAGCTGTTAGTAGTACATTTTACACATAAGACACTTCTAATTACTGTCTACAAACTGAATAAGTGGGAAGAATGGTTTTTGGATGATAAATAAAATCCCACCCTCGTGTCATTTGATATCAAATATATCAACACTCGTTGATATGTTTGATATCAAAAGACATCGGGTTAGATTCTCTATATAATGCTCCGTAAGAATTGCTGAAACTAATTTAATCTATATCCACCCCTGAGGGTAATATTATAGTAACAACTACAATAACTATAATATACTACAGAGATACATACCAGAAGCATCCTCGTGTTCTGGTTCTGCCACTGGAAGTGTGAGATGAACGCGCGAGGGCTGAGACGCACCCCCGAGGACACCAAGTGTGATTGACCCGTTTGATTACACACCCACAATCTTCCTTGCCTGTCCAAGCCTTGGGGTGTTATTCAGATGTGTTACTTGACAAATCTACATAATGATGAAAACAGTATTGGTCCATTTTAAGCTCCCATTTTACTAGAAGGAATTGAACCTAGCCCATATTGATGCAATCTCTCAATATTATTGCTAATGTTCCTTTTAATTATTTTGCTATTTCGTTCCTCTAAGGTCAAACGTACACTTCACTGTTGACAAAATGCTCGGCATTTAAGGCCCTTTGTATACCATAGTATACATTATAGTGTGTTTATATACGTTTGGGGGCGGTGGGGTAGCCTATTGGTTAAAGTAGCCTCCGCCAGGTGAGCGTGTACTCACTTACCTGTCAAAACTTAACACCTACATCAAAGAGGCCTACGTAGCACACCTGTGTGGCCGAAGGCCCGGGTTCGATTTCCCATATGGGTTCAATGTGTGAAGCCCATTTCAGGTGTCCCCCGCCGTGATGTTGCTTGAATATTGCTTAAAAGCGGCGTAAAACCATACTCACTCATTCACTCACAATATGCGTTTGTTTTGTCGATGTTTTGAAAACTATGGTATTCACAAACAATATCACCAACCTGCAGATATTTTCATAAAATGTTAAAAACCCGATCATATTTTCTTGTTTTATACAATGTTTGGTTTCTACCGCAAACCACTGAAGTAAAGGGATGATTTTGAACATGTCACTAAAAGAGGCGAACGAATAGTCAAATGTGAATACAACGTCGACTTCAATTTTCCTTAAATCTAGTCGGTGAAGTCATGCGTGTCTGTTCATTAAACCCGGGGACACTAACTTGCCCCCAGACCCGCTAGGGTGCAGTCAACATGGATCTCCCCGGGGGTCACGTGTGATCGATGGAGGGCTGAGTCTGTCCCTACGGAGACAGTCGCGGTTGTATCTCGCTCATCACCCAAGGGTTGACCATCAATATTACTGCACTCTACGTATATCAGTACACACTGACGGTGAGCTGCCTACACAGGGTTTTATTTGAAATAGATTTATTTTTTTCAGTTGGCGTTTCAAAACATTTTTTTTTCACTCAAAGAAACCAAACATATTTTTTTTATTCACAACATATTTTTCAGTTAAAAAGGAATGTCATGTGGACGATGTATGTTTTTGAAAACCTGAGGACAATTATTGTATTTAGGATTAATTATTAACACATTATATGGAGTCACAGAAAATTGCAGGCCCCGCTCGTCCATGAATATCAAATGAAGCGTCATAAAATGTAATTTGTTTTGCTCCTACCAACAAGAGACTCAAGTATTTTAAGTTCTTTTAAAACCAAAATAAACGCGCTCCTTCTCTAACCCTTATGTTTTAGGAAGTAAATATACTGCTTACAACTTTCACTACTTATGCAGTTAAATTGTGACTTTTTTACACTTGATTCAATAAACAGTCCCAGCTGTCTCTGAAACTGTTGGAAACATAGTGTTTAATAAGGTAACTGACATTTGTAAAAACAAGATAGTCCCTGATGTGCCATTATTGTTCAATGGGAGTACCCGTGAAGATCCAGGGTAGAATAGGTCTTCAGCAACCCATGCTTGCCGTAGAGGGCGACTATGCTTGTCGCAAGAGGCGATTACGGGATCGGGTGGTCAGGCTCTCTGACTTGGTTGATGCATGTCGTCGTATCCCAATTGCGTAGATCGATGGTCATGATGTCAATCACTGGATTGTCTGGTCCAGGCTGGGTTATTTATAGACCGTCGTCATATAGCTGGAATATTGCCGAGTGCGGCGTTAAACAACAAAGCAACAAACAAATGATCACGAGTTTCGTGTTTTTGAAAGTTCGGTGACGGTTGAGGATCGTTGCATCAAGTACCTGCGACAGTTCGGTGGTAAAGTATACAAGACACACACACACACACACACACACACACACACACACACACACACACACACACACACACACACACACACACACACACACACACATATATATATATATATATATAAAAAAATATATATTGCCACCGTTTACTTACCGAACTTAAGTAGCAAATGTATACATACATGATACACTTACATGTGTTTGACCAGCGAGTACTACTTTACATGCTTCAAACACTTAAAACTGTTTCATATTGTATTACTTATTTCATTATCAGTTTATTATCAGTTTATGGGACTTCATATGCAAATGCGTTTTGCAGGGAAAAGAAGGGGTAGTCGAGAGTCGTCAGGTTTTGTTGTCTGAACTGGGTGTTGATGTCTGAAAGCTCTTCTCCCCCGGTGGAACACGACGGTGATCAAAGAGCCGAGGCATCCTGGCTTCAACTGCCGACTGCCCCCTCCGCATTGTGGACAGGTTAGGGTGGCACTTTCCGAAAACGTTGTTTAAATTATTTATTCTATGCTGCCAGCTACGAAAGCCTAATGGTTCCACTTTGGTTACATACACTATTTTTAATCGAAATTTCTCGTTATTTCGATTATTTTCTCGAAATAACGAATATTTTCTCGTTATTTCAAGTTTATCTGACAAACTCAAAATATCGATTTTTGTCTCGTTGCTTCGATATTTTTCTCTCGTTATTTCGACTATTTTCTAGTAATTTCGATAATTTTCTCGTTATAGCAAGTTTATTTTAATAACTCGCAATTTCGATTTTTGTTCTCGTTATGTCAATTATTTTCTAGAAATTTCGAGTTTTTGAAATAAACTTGAAATAACGAGAAAAAAACTCATAGATGCCTCACGAAACAAAACCAAAGGTAGTGCAGCTGCACGACTGAGAAATCGATGAAGGTTCAACTTGTTCAACTTGTTCAATTGCTGCTCGGGCCCCAGGAACCTTCGAAATGGTCCTGTGTCTGGTCCGGTACGTGATGCTTTTCCTGGATCCGAACATCGGAATATTCTGGCGAATGTTTTCAGGCAGGTTGACTGTATAGCCTTTCAACTCAATACTCTGATCATCGTAGATTCGGTTGATGGTGGTAACGCTCGCTGACTTGGTTGATGCAAGTCATCGATCCCAACTGCGTGGATCGATGCTCATGATTTCAATCACTGGATTGTCTGGTCTAGACTGGATTATTTACAGACTGCCGTCATATAGCTAGAATATTGCTGAGTGCGGCGTTAAACAACAAACAACAAACAACAAACAACAAACAACAAACAACAAACAAAACCTCCCCGCCTTAGCTTCTCTTAGCTGACCTGGCCATGAAACATGAACCCTGGCGACTGCAGTTTGTGTGGCTGGTGTGACATTCGGCCTACAGTGACGTCATGGGTCTGTAGTGATGCCTTACAAGTCTTCTTACCAGTAGGATGTCTCGTCCTTGTCTCTGACTTGTATCATCCATGAAGCAGGTTTCGATGTCTTTTCGAATTCCCTGTGAGTGAGTTGGGTTTAACGTCGCTTTTAACAGTATTCCAGTTATATCACGGCGTGTCAGATAAATGTGGGAGGAAAGCCCGAAGTGATGCAGGTCCCAGACGTTTACCACTTCGGTGAAACCCACGAGCACGGGTATGGTGCTGACAAACCTAGAAACATAATTGGGGCGAACCGGGATTCGAAGCCACAATTATAGGTTACTGGCGTGCCCAAGGGACGCAAGTCCGCACAGCGAATCGCGGCGCCTTAGACGACTGCGCCAACCGTGCCCCCAAATTCCCTGTGAAGCTGATCTGAAGTTGCGCGTTAACCATGACATTGGCATGTTCTCGTCTTATAGCTACACTAAAAATAAGCTGGCAACAAGATTTACTCAAATTATATTTTTATATCCTTTCTAACTTCATCTCACTTTGATCTTAAAACTCTGTTTATTTTCTTCTATAATCTTAAGGACGGGTGGGGTAGCCTAGTAGTTAAAGCATTCACTCGTCACGCCGAAGGCCTGTTTCGATTCTCAACATGGGTACAACGTGTGTAGCCCATTTCTGATGTCATCCGTGGTGATATTGCAGGAATATTTCTAAAGACGGCGTAAATTCATACTCACTCATTCAATTATTTCAGTTAGGGAGAAGGGATATGCCGACGAACCCAGTTGGGTAGCAGGAATTGATTTGTTGATTTCTACTAATCCCTTAACATTTCCGACAGCTAGGTCCTTGGCACCTGTTTTGTACTAAACATACAATTTAGGTCTTAGATAGGTCTTAGGTCCTTCAATATAAAAGTTAGTGAGTGATCGAGTGAGTATGGTTTTACGCCGCTTTTAGCAATATTCCAGCAATATCACGGCGGGGGACACCAGAAATGGGCTTCACACATTGTACCCATGTCGGGAATCGAACCCGGGTCTTCAGCGTGACGAGCGAACGCTTTAACCACTAGGCTACCCGACCGCCCCTATATATAAAAGACTCACGACACTTTGGCCATGAACCCCCATCTCAGCTGCAACGAAAATATGTAGTTGTTTCACTCTGTCCACAAGTATATCAACCACACTAATAAATTTATAAATAATTGTTTGATGGGCTTAAATAGTATATGTAAAACTGTTTCCTTCTGTTTCTCTCTATATGTCTCAATGTGATATTTTATAACTCTGAGTAATTTGAGAGATGGCTACCTACGTTAAAATAATGAAACGTAGTTTCATGAAACGATATTTAAACTCGATGACTAAGGGTTTATATTCCTCTTCACATCGCATTTTGTTAAACTACAAACATCACCGGAGTTATGTCCCTTGCAAACCGTAACAAATCACTAACAAGTGTTGAAACAAATTGATATACTTTATATATGAAAATCATATGGAAACAATCACAAAATCGCTCATGGAATTACAACAGTTTTTGAGTTTTATAGACAGATAACGTGCTAGAGGTGAATTTTCAAAATACACGATCATCAACAAGGTATTTTCTCCAGCGTTGGTAAATTGTAGTGGTGTTTTAGCTGCGACTCTCAACTGATTACGAAACAGTCATGTAATTAAGCCAGGTAATATTGACCAATCGTGGGTTTACTGTACACTTAAGGCTGTGGAACGTCCAATCACGGAGCATGCATACACTTTAGGCTCGTGAACATCGTCCAATCACGAGCAGGCATACACTTGAGGCTCGTGAACATCGTCCAATCACGAGCAGGCATACACTTGAGGCTCGTGAACATCGTCCAATCACGAGTAGGCATGCACTTGAGGCTCGTGAACATCGTCCAATCACGGAGCAGGCATACATTTGAGTCTGTCGAAGGCCGCCTTCTCCAACTGCTCCCTGTGGTTGGGGTGAGCTATCTTTATCAACTCGTAGGCTCTCTGTCGCAGGCTTTTGCCGAACAAGAAGGCGATGCCGAACTCTGTCACCACGTAATGCACGTGCGCTCGTGTCGTTACAACTCCAGCACCTACAAACGTATGAAAAACACGAACATTTGTTAATCCTTGTGGATTTAATAGTAATTGTTTCGAAGGATTTAGTTACGTCAGCCATATTTGGCATTGTCACATGACAATCGTTGAGGTCTGCTACAAATAGTCATTTCTCTCTAAAAGTAAAGAAAACAGAATCAGTCTGTTCATGTGAAGTGAATGTTGTTTAACGGCACACTCCATTTACGAGCATTGTATTCTGGAGCAGTGGACTGTGGTACTGGGGACCTACTCTGCCCTGATTCTCTATGTGGAGATATGACTGTGGTATTGGGGACCTACCCTGCCCTGATTCTCTATGTGGAGGTATGACGGTGGTACTGGGGACCTACTCTGCCCTGATTCTCTATGTGGAGGTATGACTGTGGTACTGGGGACCTACTCTGCCCTGATACTCTATGTGGAGGTATGACGGTGGTACTGGGGACCTACTCTGCCCTGATTCTCTATGTGGAGATATGACTGTGGTACTGGGGACCTACTCTGACCTGATTCTTACCGTGGAGGTATGACGGTGGTACTGGGGACCTACTCTGACCTGACTCTTGACGTGTAAATATAAAGGTGGTACTGGGGACCTACTCTGCCCTGATTCTCTATGTGGAGGTATGACGGTGGTACTGGGGACCTACTCTGCTCTGATTCTCTATGTGGAGATATGACTGTGGTACTGGGGACCTACTCTGACCTGATTCTTACCGTGGAGGTATGACGGTGGTACTGGGGACCTACTCTGACCTGACTCTTGACGTGTAAATATAAAGGTGGTACTGGGGACCTACTCTGCCCTGATTCTCTATGTGGAGATATGACTGTGGTACTAGGGACCTACTCTGACCTGATTCTCTATGTGGAGATATGACTGTGGTACTAAGGACGTACTATGCCCTGATTCTCTATGTGGAGGTATGACGGTGGTACTGGGGACCTACTATGCCCTGATTCTCCATGTGGAGATATGACGGTGGTACTGGGGACCTACTCTGCCCTGATTCTCTATGTGCAGGTATGACTGTTGCATTGGGGACCTACCCTGTCCTGATTCCTAACGTGGAAATATGACGGTGGTGCTGGGGACCTACTATGCCCTGACTCTTAACTTGGAAATATGACGGTGGTACTGGGGACCTTAGGGACCTATTCTACCCAGAATCTTATCGCGGAAATATGACGGTAGTGCTGGGGACCTTGGGGACCTATTCTACCCGGAATCTTAACGTGGAAATATGACGGTGGTGCTGGGGACCTACTCTTCCCGGAATCTTAACGTGGAGATATGACGGTGGTACTGGGGACCTTGGGGACCTACTCTACACGGAATCTTAACGTGGAAATATGACGGTGGTACTGGGGACCTACTCTTCCTGGAATCTTAACGTGGAAATATGACGGTGGTGCTGGGGACCTACTCTTCCTGGAATCTTAACGTGGAAATATGACGGTGGTGCTGGGGACCTACTCTTCCCGGAATCTTAACGTGGAAATATGACGTAGGTACTGGGGACCTACTCTACCCGGAATCTTAACGTGGAGATATGACGGTGGTGCTGGGGACCTACTCTTCCTGGAATCTTAATGCGGAAATATGGCGGTGGTACAGGGGGCCTACTCTACCCGGAATCTTAACACGGAAATATGACAGTGGTGCTGGGGACCTACTCTTCCCGGAATCTTAACGTGGAAATATGACGGTGGTGCTGGGGACCTTGGGGACCTACTCTACCCGGAATCTTAATGTGGAAATATGACGGTGGTGCTGGGGACCTACTCTCCGGAATCTTAACTTGGAAACATGACCGTGGTAATGGGGACCTACTATGCCCGGAATCTTAACGTGGAAATATGACGGTGGTGTTGGGGACCTACTCTACCCGGAATATTAACGCGGAAATATGACGGTGGTGCTGGGGACCTTGGGGACCTATTCTATCCCGAATCTTAACGTGGAAATATGACGGTGGTGCTGGGGATCTACTCTACCCAGAATATTAACGCGGAAATATGACGGTGGTACTGGGGACCTTGGGGACCTATTCTACCCGGAATCTTAACATCGATATATGACGGTGGTACTGGGGACCTTGGGGACCTATTCTACCCGGAATCTTAACATCGATATATGACGGTGGTACTGGGGACCTTGGGGACCTATTCTACCCGGAATCTTAACATGGAAATATGACGGTGGTGCTGGGGACCTACTCTTACTGGAATCTTAACGTTGAAATATGACGGTGGTACTGGGGACCTACTCTTCCCGGAATTTTAACATCGATATATGACGGTGGTACTGGGGACCTTGGGGACCTATTCTACCCGGAATCTTAACATGGAAATATGACGGTGGTGCTGGGGACCTACTCTTACTGGAATCTTAACGTGGAAATATGACGGTGGTACTGGGGACCTTGGGGACCTACTCTACCCGGAATCTTAACGTGGAGATATGACGGTGGTGCTTCGGAACCTACTCTTCCCGGAATCTTAATGCGGAAATATGACGGTGGTACAGGGGGCCTACTCTACCCGGAATCTTAACGTCGAAATATGACGGTGGTACTGGGGACCTACTCTACCCGGAATCTTAACGTGGAAATATAACGGTGGTGCAGTGGACCTACTCTACACGGAATCTTAACGTGGAAATATGGCGGTGGTACTGGGGACCTACTCTACCCGGAATCTTAACGTCGAAATATGACGGTGGTACTGGGGACCTACTCTACACGGAATCTTAACGTGGAAATATGACGGTGGTGCAGTGGACCTACTCTACCCGGAATCTTAACGTTGAAATATGACGGTGGTACTGGGGACCTACTCTACCCGGAATCTTAACGTGGAAATATGACAGTGGTGCTGGGGACCTACTCTACCCGGAATCTTAACGTGGAAATAAGATGAAAGTACTGGGGACCTATTCTACCCGTATTTTCCATGTGGGGTTATGGAAGTGGTACATGCGGCCGTGTGTCCATGTGGAAATAAGATGAAAGTACTGGGGACCTATTCTACCCGTATTTTCCATGAGGGGTTATGGAAGTGGTACATGCGGTCGTGTGTCCATGTGGAAATAAGATGAAAGTACTGGGGACCTATTCTACCCGTATTTTCCATGTGGGGTTATGGAAGTGGTACATGCGGTCGTGTGTCCATATGCAAATAAGATGAAAGTACTGGGGACCTATTCTACCCATATTTTCCATGTGGGATTATGAAAGTGGTACATGCGGTCGTGTGTCCATGTGGAAATATGATAAAAGTACTGGGCACCTGTTCTTCCCTGAAATAGGATAATCTGCGGCCGATGAGTGGCTGAGCGAACGACTATACAATGTTTATTCAATCATAATACGTAAAGGTTTCAGACCCGTAGTACTCGTACATTCACTGCATTACAGAGTTGCTAAGCATTTAACACCTTGAAGAAGACCGCCGGAGTTTCATAGCATTGTAAAGATACATAGTCATATTTCTAAATAATATATTTTTCGACGTTGAAATCCAAAAGCGAAACCTTTGGGCGTCATTGGGGTTAATACAGAATACCTTATCAGATATACTGATCGTAGATAGTTTTCGGGCATACAAGTAAGAGTTAGTGAGTGAGTGAGTGAGTATGGTTTTACGCCGTTTTTAGCAATATTCCAGCAATATCACGGCGGGGGACACCAGAAATGGGCTTCACACATTGTACCCATGTGGGGATTCGAACCCGGGTTTTCGGCGTGACGAGCAAACGCTTTAACCACTAGGCTACCCGACCGCCCCCAAAAAAGTAAGAAGTGGGAAGATTCTCCAATAGCCTTTTTCCACTAACAATCGGCGAGATAATCGCTAGGCTACCCAATTGCAACTTTACATTAAGGTGTCTTACCCTCTTTGATGAAAGGCGATATCTTCGACTCGCCCTTCTTTGTCTGCGAAGGAAGAGCAATAATTGGCTTGCCCTTCCCGTCTTGTGAGAGAGCTGCACCTCGTATAAAGTCCACCTGGCCCCCAAAACCTGAAACAATGAATGTGTATTCATCAAAATAGCATCGGTGTTCCTGGGATGACAACATAGTACAATACTCAACACTCGAAGGCATAATTTCACCCAAACAATCTTAAAAAAACCGTAAAAAAGGATTTATTATCTGTGATTTGAGCCAAGTATTCACTATTATTATTATGCAGCAAAGAGAGATTGGGTCATCCTGGCACAGTCAGGCTTCTTAGGCTCATCATCAGCTCAGGGCCCTTACCCCTCTACACGCAGCCCAGACAGCGAATGGGACTTCTCCCAGGAAGCGCTGCCTGGTCAAAACCACCCAGAACCTTTCGGAGAATTTGAAGACTCCCCAACACTGCAGCCTTCTGCATTACCCAGATTGTCAGAAGGACTGTATTCCTGGAAGCAAACCCGGGTACTCTTCCAATGGCCCAATGGTAGGTACCAAACCTAAGGCACCAAGAACAATGGGAAATCGGACAACTTGGTACTGATGATGCAAGCGTGACATTTCGAAAGCGAGGTCTGAATATTTGCCATCTTTTTCCTGAATCTTGTCAATCACATTAGTGTCAAAAGGGACAGAAAATTCAATAATATAACTGATTTTATAGGATGTATCAAAAAGGACAAGATCAGGTTTGTTGGCCTGGATACGTCTGAGGCTGTAAAGGGGCCTATCCATAGAATTTTGTATTTATCATTTTCCATGACGCCCTCTACATATTCTGGGTCGTACCATGGATGGACCTCTGTGTCCAAACCACAAGCATGGCGAAGACGGTAATAAAATGTTCGAGCTACACCATCATGTACTGTGTTTGTGCCAAAGCTGGGATTATGGTTATGATTATGATATTATTAACATATATAATCCACAGGAATTACGGATTAGCTGTAAACGTGTTCATAAATACTCTATATTCGAAGGTGTTGGCTACATTATACTCTTTTCTGATTTCTCATTCACAGTATGTTGTGTAAATCGTAAAAAATAAGTGAATATAGTTTTAGGCCAGCAATATCACGCCGTGCGACACCTGAAATGGTGAGGTGAAATGGGGTTTAACGTCGCGTCCAAGATTATTGCACTTATATAGCAACGTGCATGCACGTGTGTGTGTGGCTGCTTGTACTAGTCCGGACTGATGCCGAGTTATAGTGCTGGCTCACTGAGATACCATGCCGCAGTTTAACATGAATACCCCACTTAGACACAGTATACTGACTCCGAGCCGATCAGTCCTTGTTTTAGCCCCTTAATGCCGAGCGCCAGACAGGGTAACAACAAGCACCATCTTTTAACGTCTTTTGGTATGACGCGGCCGGGGATCGAACCCCGGACCTTCCGCTCTCCGGGCGGACGCTCTACAAGTAGACCACGGAGGCGGTCTACACCTGAAATGGGCTTCACACGTTGTAACCATGTGGGGAATGGTACCCGGGCCTTCGACCTGACGAGCGAACGGTTTAATCAAAAGGCTCCCCCATCGCCCCTCTTACCTGAGTACATCCTTGTTGCTATAGAATCAGACACCACCTGGCCGCTGAGATCCACCTCGATAGCTGAGTTAATGGCCGTTACCTTGGGATTCTGGGCAATGATGGCTTCACTATTGCTGTAGGCCACGTCAACCATAACTGGAATTATTATCCAGTATTATAAAATATCACGTATTGTAGTGTTGTGTATTTTACGTCTATCATTTCTGAAGGCAATGTCAACAGGTCTCTCAACTGAAATCATTGTCAGACATCACAAGCGTTCAGCGTTAATTACTTCTAAAGACAACGTCAACGGTTCACGTACAGTCACATCTATCAAAACTGGAATTATTATTCACATAAAATATCACGTCAATCATTTCTGAAACCAACGTCAACAGTTCTCTTAACTGAAAGCATTGTGAAACATTTCAAGCATTCAACGTTTATCACTTTTAAAGCCAATGACAACGGTTCTCTTACAGTCACGTCAATCATATCTGGAATTATTATCCAGCATTATAAAATATCACGTCAATCATTCTGAAGCCAATAGAAATAGAATTATTAAATTAATTTTGATGATATGTTTTGTAATTAATAAATATTTTAGAATTGGTATCGGAAAACTTGTATTGTCAGTGGCTTTACCCTCGAGGGGTGTTGAAGTAGTGTAAAATGATTGTCCCCCTGAGAGGGTATGTCAGACCAAGTCATTCAAAGTAATGTTTTTCCACCACAATTTTAATCGTAGTATATATGTTCATTTAACCTGGCTAAATTTGTCATTAATCGCCAACAGCGGAAGGGATGATGTAAATCCGGCTGGGGTCCATGCAGGTTGCAAAAGTACTGTAAGTCCCCATGGACCCTAGCATGGTGATCTACCTTCAGCTGCTGGCGATCTATAGCCCTTTTTATATTGTACCGTTATTTATAGAGATATCTTTTTATAGTTGTATGCTAGTTTTAAATATTAATCTGTGATATTCTAGTAATTTTACTGTCCATCGACGACAGGTTTTAATTTAGTTAGGATATGTGTATTAAATGTGTATAATTTCTCGTCACGATATGGCTGAAATATTGCCGATGTGACGTAAAGGATTAACTCACCAAGCGATCAACACGTACCGACAGAAGGGTTGTTGTTGAGGAAGTCGTACAGTTTACGTGAGCCAATACAGAAGCTGGAGAGAGTCTTGCCGGTGTGGATGACCTTCTTGGAGTTGGTGATGGCGCCGGTCTTCATGAGGTCCACGACGCCGTCACTGATCATCTCTGAGTGGATGCCAAGGTCACGGTGGCTCCCTAGTTCTGCCAGGACCGCGTCTGGGATCGAACCTATACCTAAAACAAAGATCGGTTTGAATGTTTGTTGTTTTAGGCTTGAAACAATAACCCAGCTGTATCGGTAACCTGTAAAAACACAATCTGATCCAGACAGGGCGGTGATCGATATTACGCCGTTGAGGTGCGATGACACACAAGTAACCAAACCATATAAAAATCGAGCCGAACCCCAGATGCAATTTGGTCGTCGTTATTAGCGTGTGGTGCCCGGTTGGTTGGTTGTTTAACGCCGCACTCAGCAATATTCCAGCTATATGACAGCGGTCTGTAAATAATCCAGTCTGGACCAGACAATCCAGTGATTAATATCATGAGCATCGATCCACGCAATTGGGATCGATGACTTGCATCAACCAAGTCAGCGAGCCTGACCACCCGATCCTGTTAGTCGCCTTTTACGACAAGCATAGTCACCTTTTACGATAAGCATGGGTTGCTGAAGACCTATTCTACCCCGGATCTTCACGGGGGAAGCATGGGTTGCTGAAGACCTATTCTACCCCGGATCTTCACGGGTCGTATGGTGCCCGGAATCACCACGCACGGTCTCAGACAAAGATGCGTGATGCGGCTTCATCTGAAGCTTTCACAATGCAGGCATTGAACTTTACGTTAAAGACTGAATACAGTCTTGCAATGTAACAGGGCATTGGAGTTACTGATTATTTATCATTTATATATATTTGATTGGAATCTGTGCAAAGAAAATGCCACACCGACCCACGTGTTTGAACAGTATTTCAGCTATATCACGGCTGGCCAGCTTAATGTGCAAGCCAAAGTGACGCCCTTTAAAAAACAACACTTGTATGACTCTGAAAAACAGTGGATTAGAACAGAGTCGAATGTTGCATTTGATGCACCGAACAGCGGATCCTGACACAGTTAAAGGATGCAACTCTGCACAGTGAAAACCCAAACAATAAAAAACACAAATGCTTTTACCACAAGGAAGCAATGCCATATTCACTTGTTTCATCAGTGTCATAAATATTAAGTCATTTAGATATTCATGATGGAAAGCATTTGTCGAATTTGTTCCATGGGCTGTGGTAAAGGAATATGTATGAGTATACGTATACATAAAATCTACTGGACTGCTGTTTTGATCTTTGATCAAAATGCCACACCGACCCACGTGTTTGAACAGTATTTCAGCTATATCACGGCTGGTAGGCTTAATGTGCAAGCCAAAGTGACGCCCTTTAAAAAAACAACACTTGTATGACTCTGAAAAACAGTGGATTAGAACAGAGTCGAATGTTGCATTTGATGCACCGAACAGCGGATCCTGACACAGTTAAAGGATGCAACTCTGCACAGTGAAAACCCAAACAATAAAAAACACAAATGCTTTTACCACAAGGAAGCAATGCCATATTCACTTGTTTCATCAGTGTCATAAGTCATTTAGTCATTTAGATATTCATGATGGAAAGCATTTGTCGAATTTGTTCCTTAGGCTGTGGTAAAGGAATATGTATGAGTATACGTATACATAAAATCTACTGGACTGCTGTTTTGATCATCTTGATGACAAGTACCTAACTGTAACGTGGCTCCATCCTGGACCAGGTTCTGTGCTATGTGCTTGCCGATGGCGTTCTCCTCAGGGGACATAACTCTCTTCTTGAGTTCTGGCAGGGGTCTGTCCTCCGCGACCATGGCGTCAAAATGGGACTGGTGTATGAGGCCGTCTCCGAATGTCCGCGGCATTTGTTTGTTCACCAGGCCTAAGTAGAGTGAATAAGAAAGATGGGTTTGTGCTGTTATCATAAGTATTTCAATCATATTACTGAGTTCCAAGCGTGACGTATGTTTACCTCGTTAGTTAAGCCCACCAGAACGGGTAGATGTATGGTGCTGGCGGACTGAGGATCATGATAATGGGATGGGAACCTTCTGTCAGCGGATCCTGACAGCTAAGGGACGCAACTCTGCCCAGCGAGATGCGTCGTGTTTACTTTCACTGATGTTTCATCTGATCCTCGTTTAGGTCAGATCATTGGCTATTCTGGTTCTTTTCGAAATACTGGAAATTTGTATCAGGTTTGCAAAATATAAATAATTGTTCGCTGCACATGCAGCATGTTTTAAAAAAGCTCCTCCTTTCAAAGAGGTTTATTTGCACGTCTTGAAACTGTGACCGAAAAACGGTTCGTCTCTGAACTCCACCGCCCCCATAAGCCCGATTATTAAATGGTCTGCCCCTAAGTGAAAAAACATAGAAATTGATAAAAAAAATAAAATTATTCGCTTCATAAAATTAAGACACATTCAGTCTGGATTATCGAGGTTCCATAATGTATGATACCAAACTGGCTTCCAACGGAGATATTGTTTGGGTGAGATATCTACATGGTAGATATCGCTGCAATGAAATTGCTTTACAATGCTTTGCAGACCATTGTGACGTCATTGGTTACCATGGCGTCAGAATCAAATGACGTCAACAATGACGTCAGCTACTGAAGCTATTAGCAGTACTCTTTAAACTTAAGACATTGCTTATTACTGTCTGCAAACAACACTCGTCGATAAATGTTTAAAACTCATCGGCAGGCCTCGGAGTTTTAAACTTTTATCGACTCGTGTAGATATATTTGTTATCAAATAAGACACTTGGGTGAGATTCTCTCTCAACTTTTTTGTCCGTATTAACGGGTTCCAAGTATTCTACCTATGATATACTTGGCGTTCTGGACCGCAGCCCTGGCACAGTCCACGCTGGTACCCAGGGAGCAGTAACCATGGTTATCCGGGGGCGTCACAGAAACAAGGGCGACGTCGAGATTGATGATGTGTCGCCGGAAGAGCAACGGGATTTCCCCGAGGAAGATCGGAATACAGTCAGCTCGACCTGAGTTGATTGGCTCTCGTAGATTGGCACCAATGAAGAATGAATTTGACCTAAAATGATCTGTAACGATAGAATAATTGTATTGTATTGAAGCCCATTCATAAATATATATATAGTACATCGTTAAAAGTTCTTCTTTTTGGACCTCACAGATTATATCTGAACAAAATAGATATTGGGAGCTTGGGGAACTCGGGTGGCCTAGTGGTCAAAGGCTCCGTAATTCTCCGTCAGACTACCATTATTCAGATTTCGAATCCCGTTTCGCAGTGATAATGTTTCCAGGTTTGTCAGCACCATACCCGTGTCCGTGGGTTTAACGAAAGTGGTAGACGTCTGAGACCTGCATTCATTCGGGGCTCTGCTACTACATCAAGAAAACGGCGTTAAAACGCAAGCACTCACTCACTCACTCACTCACTACGATATATGAGATTGAATAGGTATTCACGTTGCCCTATGAACAATGTTGCCACTGCTTGTCCACAATTTACATCTTTACATTTAACATCTCGCCTATCAATTATTTGCTGGCTTAGCATAAGATGAGTACGGTAATAACAAATCAAATTAATTGTATGGTTGACAGCGTCTTTACTTACGTTGCAGATGGGTGAGCTACAGACCCTGTTTCAAAATGTAATAAAACATACTGTGAAATAAAACTTATTTGCCTATAAATCTGAATTCCTATATAACAACTAACATATTGACATTTTGGGATTATAGGAGCGCTTCAAGTTCCATAAATCCCCATCTCACCTTTATATTCTGGTTGGGCATAGGTCGCTGGTCCTTCTGTGTGCATATGTACCACCTCCACGTCCTTAAGCCCCGCCTTCTTACCATATACGGCCATAGCGTCCGCCAATGTGATGGGCGTGGCTGCAGCTCCCTGTACGTACACCTTGTGTCCTGGGAATGGGAGAGTTGGGGTTTAGAGAACATGTCGTATAGTAAGTGAATGCCAGGTGTGTTGCGTGATGGCCCTCGTGTGATGTGAAGACGTACAATATATGTCTCCACTAAGGGTCAATAAATTAACAAGATTATTTTTGTTGTAAGTTGATATCTTTACTTATATGCTGTTGTATTAACTACATTGTTTAGAACTAAATACCGTGGTAGTTTCAATAATGAAATATTTTAAATTATGTCATATATATATATATATATATATATATATATATATATATATATATATATATGTATATATATATATATATATATATATATATGCAATCAGTCCGGGCGATATTTACATCCGGATAAAGGATATATAAAAATAATTCAGCCTTCATGAGATCAAGAAATCGTGCTGTCTTTAAGAAAATACATGCAAATAAAAAGAAAATCCCCCATAAAAGAAAATGCGTAAATTAAAATTCTTATAAAATATCATTGTTTCATTTTTTCACTGCACTTTAAAGTGACACACATGTATATCCGCTGGCGTTGATGACGCAGACACAGCTCCGGATGTAAGGGTGCCTTGCCTGTGTGACATCAGTTCAATGAGGTCAACAAATCCATTACTGTCTGTCAGGTTATTAAGCATTGAATAAAGGAATACATACGAAAAGGCTTTTCGCCAATTAGAAAATGTACTTTTAGAAAATTTGACTATATGAAACTTCTCTTGACAAATATGAGATTCCATACAACAAATGGAATGCATCTTCCCAGCTTGCCCTACCTATTTGAGAGCTTTCTTTGACAGGGAAGTAAGATTAGTGCTCAGTTTATGTAGTGTCTCCTTACACTGCTTCACTACCATTAAACGTTAAATTACTGAATGAATGGGCTGTTCGTTTTCTACAAATGGCGCTAGGTTTTGCAGCACTGCGTTAATGTACTATTCAATAGTGATCCTTTTCCTATCAAGACGGGGGTCTAGAAGTGTCGCCTAGCAATATGAATTGCTCATTGACATGGAAAGAATGTGTAGCTTCATTTTAAGTTTCGTGAAAGGGCGACAATCTTATTATTTCTATCAAACGTCGAGTGGAGTTACACACACACACACACACACACACGCACACACACACACGCACGCACGCACGCACGCACGCACGCACGCACGCACGCACGCACGCACGCACGCGCGCACACACACACACACACAGACACACACACACGGATATTATGAGGTCAGTCCCTTTTTGTCTTCCAGCACACAGGTGTCAAGATAAGAAAAAAATGTTTGCGTTGTTTGAATCGAAGGGTGGTGGATAGGCGCTGGCTATGTGTGACTTCTGTACGACACTATTGAGGTTATCTGTAACGGGCCACTGAGAGATAACATAAGCAAAATCAGACATGAAACAAGTTTAAGTTTTGTGCGAACTCATACAGTGTGAGCCGACGCGTAATGGTAGTTACATACCCCACACAGCCATGTACCGCGGCTGGTAGGGATTAACACACTATTGGACAAAACGATTGTGGGGAAAATAACCATCTAGACAAAGTGTGTGTTTTGTGTGTTTGTATGTATATATATGCGTATATATGTGTGTTTGTGAATGTGTGTACATGAGTGTGTGTGTGTACATGTATGTCTGTATGTGCTCGGTGGTTGTGGTGTGTGTGTGTGTGTGTGAGTATTTGGTGAGGGTGAGTGTGTTTCCGCGTGTGTAATTTGGTTGTGTGCGTATGTGCTGGAGTAGATGTGGATATTGGCGACTTAGTGTAAGTGTGTGGGTGGGTGTGGGGGTGTGTGTGGGGGGGTGGGGTGGGGGGTGGGGTGGGGTGGAGTTTAGGATGGTGTGTGCGTGCATATTGTTTGCTGAGCTCAGTGTCATATTGTTTACAAACAAAGCGGGTAACTAATTATTCCCACCTTTTCGTTTGCAAATAGTTTAAGCAATTATAAATATTGAATGTTACAAACCAATCGCAGTTTCATTGAAGAATTATAAACATTCACTATTTCAAGCGATTTCACTGACCAACTTATTGAAAACTATCACACATGAAACGGTATTCGCTCTGTCATACTGCGAGGTGTGTTCTGACAAACATTCTTAAAACCTTCACACATCGAACGTTATTCGCTCTATCATACTGCGAGGTGTATACTGACCAACATTCTGAAAACCTTCACACATTGAACGTTTTTCGCTCTGTCATACTGCGAGGTGTGCACTGATCACCATTCTGAAAACCTTCACACATCGAACGTTATTCGCTCTGTATTACTGCGAGGTGTGTACTGACCAAATTTCTGAAAACCTTCACACATCGAACGTTATTCGCTCTGTCATACTGCGAGGTGTGCACTGACCACCATTCTGAAAACCTGCACGCATCGAACGTTATTCGCTCTGTCATACTGCGAGGTGTTCACTGACCAACATTTTGAAAACCTTCACACATCGAACGTTATTCGCTCTATCATACTGCGAGGTGTGTACTGACCGCCATTCTGAAAACCTTCACACATCGAACGTTATTCGCTCTGACATACTGTGAGGTGTGCACTGACCAAAATTCTGAAAACCTTTTCACATCGAACGTTATTCGCTCTGTCATACTGCGAGGTGTGCACTGACCAACATTCTGAAAACCTTCACACATCGAACGTTATTCGCTCTGTCATACTGCGAGGTGTGTACTGACCACCATTCTGAAAACCTTCACGCATCGAACGTTATTCGCTCTGTCATACTGCGAGGTGTGTACTGACCACTATTCTGAAAACCTTCACGCATGGAACGTTATTCGCTCTATCATACTGCGAGTAGTGTATCGTGGAGACGGGCGCATGTTACATCCTAATGAATGTCAGAGTGACGTGAACTAGTGGCTTTCATATAGCGGGCGTCTTATCTTCATTAATGTTCTCTAAACCAAGAGCAGGAGTGTAGGAAGTAATTTATCATTCTATTTCTTCACAAATAGCCGGGCCCGAGTCCAAGTGCCCTACGCTTGTCTCGTCCATGTGAGTGAGTGAGTGAGTGAGTGAGTTAACATATAACGTCGCATCAGCATTATATCAGCCATATAGCGACCCCATGTATGACAGCCCAATGGGGATCTGGTGGTTGAGTGAGTGAGTTTTTAACAGTATTCCAGTTATATCGCGGCGTGTCAGTTTAATGTGGGAGGAAAGCCCGAAGTGATGCAGGTCTCAGACGTTTACCACTTCGGTGAAACCCACGAGCACGAGTATGGTGCTGACAAAGCAAGAAACAAAATCGGGGCGAACCGGGATTCGAACCCACAATCATAGGTTTCTGGCGTGGCCAAAGGACGCAACTCTGCACAGCGAATCGCGGCGCCTTAGACGACTGGGCCACCCGTGCCCCGCTCTGGTGGTTAAGATACGAGAGCTGGATGACTGCGTTTCAAATCGCCCTTCTAGGATCCCATAACTTGGCGAACGTTGATGTGATGCTGATGGATCCTGTAAGCGTCGACTTAATGGAATCCGGTGGCGTGACCGGTGACTTGGCTGATTGTCTGACATCATAAATCGGCGGCGTAGGTCGTCATAATATCAATCACTGGATTATCCTGCGTTCAAACATATTTGTTTATGTTTATCTGTATGATATAAGTTTTTTATTGAAAAACGAATTTTTAAATTTTATTTTTTTACAATTGCAGCAACCAGGTGTTCGCTAAAAGGGTAAACATATCCTGCCCTATCGGTAGCACCCTTCACACATAGGATTGAATAACAAAATGTATGTGTTTTGTTGTCTGACGACGGCGTCCTGTAAACGAACCGGATCACTGTTAAGTGATGAGGGAGTTATGTTATTCCGGGGCGGTCCAGTAGCCAAGTTGTTAAAGTGTTCGCTCGTCGCGCCTTATGCCCGGGTTCGATTACCAACATGGATATAGTGTATGAGGCCAATGTGTTCAGGGAGCCCAGTATTCGTAATCGTAGCCATTGTATCCAATTAACCCTGATAATGACCACGACAATCATTGGGTCTTTACCATGTCTTTGAGTATGTGTAGGTTACAAAAAGGGTTAACGGTATAGCAAGCAGGTATACATTAATACAATGACGCGATGCAGTCAGGGGCAACCTATATTGGATCGATACTGATTATTCTGGAAGAGAGATCAGAGCGCTGCCGATCATCTATCAAACAACAAGTTGTGCCGAGAACCACAACGGTAAGAGCTGCAGATCAAAATATAGGTTACTGGTCCACCCGTAACTTGGAGCACTCTTCCACCAGCAACATGCACCCCTCTACCACACGTAACTTGGAGCACTCTTCCACCCGCAACTTGCACCACTCTTCCACACGTAACTTGGAGCACTCTTCCACAGGTAACTTGGAGCACTCTTCGACCAGCAACATGCACCCCTCTACCACACGTAACTTGCACCACTCTTCCACACGTAACTTGGAGCACTCTTCCACACGTAACTTGGAGCACTCTTCGACCAGCAACATGCACCCCTCTACCACACGTAACTTGCACCACTCTTCCACACGTAACTTGCACCACTCTTCCACACGTAACTTGGAGCACTCTTCGACCAGCAACATGCACCCCTCTACCACACGTAACTTGCACCACTCTTCCACACGTAACTTGCACCACTCTTCCACACGTAACTTGGAGCACTCTTCGACCAGCAACATGCACCCCTCTACCACACGTAACTTGGAGCACTCTTCCACCCGCAACATGCACAACTCTTCCACCCGTAACTTGGAGCACTCTTCCACCAGCAACATGCACCACTCTTCCACCCGTAAGTTGGAGCACTCTTCCACCAGCAACATGCACCACTCTTCCACCCGTAACTTGGATCACTCTTCCACCAGCAACATGCAACGCTCTTCCACCCGTTACTTGCACCACTCTTCCACCCGTAACTTGGAGCACTCTTCCACCCGTAACTTGCACCACTCTTCCACCCGCAACATGCGCAACTCTACCA